GGAAGCACAAAGCTGTTAATATTGCATTAGTGTCAGAGAGAGGGGAAGCGAAGTACAACAGGTGTCGGTTGCACTGACTTTCTCTGGTTACAGAGGTTACAACAAATACTTTGTGTGGCTGTAGTGCTTTCTGTGCCTTACCAGGCCAAACTAAACCAGTTAACCATCCTCAACTAACTGTCTTATATAAAGTTCAAATGTCTATACAATTCATTTGTAAAGACTCACGTTGCATTTCCATTGCAGCAAGTTCCCTAATGCTGCCAAAAAATATCACTTGAGTGGTATAAAACAATGTTTAGGGCTAATAACCTTGTCCGGTAATGTAGTACATGTAAGTTTTCTGGGAACTCTTCAGAGTCTCTAATGGGTAGTGTCTTATGAATACTGCAAACCTTACAAATTGTGTGGTTTTTCGGTTGTCTAATTGATTATAATGTAATATTGTAAATTGAGATGTAATTTTAGAATTAAAATATAATTACAGCTTGAAAAGTGAGCATTATGAAATTATAAACAGTATAAGTTTATACAGTATAAGTCATTATGAAATTGAAACAGTATATAGTGCCATCCAGTGGTGAAGTAGTGACCTAGGAGTTGGACTTATTTACCTAAGCCTCACTAGTGTACTTAACTGGGCAAATGTAATTATTTGCCCATGTTACTAAATTCACAAATCTATGAAATTGCATTTGTAATGGGGTTCAGCTGGACTAGATGCACTCAGGCCTGATTACAGCATCAATTAAATCAACCCTTAAAAAACTAAAACTTTTTCAACAGCAAGTTGGTTAAAAGGTCTTATCAGGTAAACCACTATGGTGCCAAGGATCAAAGAAAATGACTGAAATACCTCAGTCTGGGAAGGGTTACAAAGCTATTTCAAAGGCTCTTGGACTCCAAAGAGCCACAATGAGAGCATAATCTCCTAATGGAAAAAACCTGGCACAGTGTCAAACATTGCCACAAGTGGTTGACCTTCCAAAATTCCTCCAAGAGCATAGTACGGACTCATTCAGGAAGTCACAAAGACCGAAGGACAACATTGAAGGAACTGCAGGCCTCTCTTGCATCAGTCAAGGTCACTGTTTATGACTCCACTATCCGAAAGACACTGAAACACAAAAATTACATCCATGGAAAAGTGGCGAGGTGAACCCCTAACCCAGAAGAACTTTAATGCTCGACTGAATTTTGCCAAAACATACCTTGATGATCCTCAAACTTCTAGGGGGATGTTTTGTGGAGTGATGAGTTGAAAATGGAACTGTTTGGAAGACAGTTTAATAACTGTTGATTCCGGAGACTCTGCAATCCTTGTATTCTTAGATATCAATGTGGCATTTGATACCGTAGATTACAGAATCTTGTTTTCACATTTTGAGAATTCAAAGAGAGACTCTTCAGTAGTTTAAGTCCTGTTTGTCCAATAGATGTTTTACAGTTAATCTTGGTCAGTTTTTATCGACTTCAGCTCTTCTTACCTGTGGGGTCCCCCAAGGGTCCGTTCTTGCCCCGCTTTTGTTTTCCCTGTATATGCTCCCCATGGGATCTATTCTTAAGAAACATGGTGTTTCTTCTCATTATTATACCAGTGACATGCAGATTTATCTGCGACTGAAAATAAAAATAACTTTAATAATAATAATTTAACTTCTTTTTGAACTTACATCCTTACATGTCCTAAGGCTCAATGAAAACAAAACAGGCATTGATATGTTTGGGGCAAAGTTGCACCCAAGCTTTGGAACAATTTACTTTACATGTTAGAGCAGCTCCAACTTCTGTATATCCACTTTTAAAATACTCTTAAAACATATTTATCTTTGGATTTTAATGGTATATAGCATAAGCCGACTTATTTTTTTTTTCATATGTAAGGTTATCCACGTATGTGTTTACAGACTTTCTCAGGTCGTTGGATATATCAGTGGTCGTTGTTGCTCGTGTCACTGGAAGTCATCAGCTCTCCACTGAAAATGACGCGCTATATACAGGGCCGTCCTTAGGGCAGTGTAAAGGTAATGCAAAAGTAAAGTAATGCATTACTTTCCATAAAAGTAACTAAGTAACACAATTAGTTACTTTTTTATGGAGTAACGCAATATTGTAATGCATAACTTTTAGAAATAACTTTCCCCAACACTGGTTCTCAGCATGTCCAAAGGTGGGAAAAAAAAGAAAGATTATCATATTTCTGAGGAGGTATTTAGACTTTAATGAAATGAAGCCAAACCTGGTATACAGAATGCCCCAAAAACATATTTACAAGCCAGAGACAGCCAATTAAAGGGAGTTAGAAAGATCATTTAGTAGTACAAACCAGTTAGTGAAAGTCCTGCTGGTATGCTACAGCTGTTCATTTGAAAGAGTAGAAAAGAACGAGGCTTAGGGAAGAGATGAGTAAATACAGGGACAATTGAGGAAGGTGGAAACATTTTCATCTGCAGCCGTCACCACAATACAAGTCGCAATTTATAGCCATGAATAAATTCTAAACTGCAAAGTGACTCTATTGCTCAAGCTGCAGGAGGATAAGTGTATTCACATCAGAGGAAATAGAGACACATGTACATATCAACAAACATATATATTACACTGCAGTCAAGACTCTGCAATCCTTGTATTCTTAGATATCAATGTGGCATTTGATACCGTAGATTACAGAATCTTGTTTTCACATTTTGAGAATTCAAAGAGAGACTCTTCAGTAGTTTAAGTCCTGTTTGTCCAATAGATGTTTTACAGTTAATCTTGGTCAGTTTTTATCGACTTCAGCTCTTCTTACCTGTGGGGTCCCCCAAGGGTCCGTTCTTGCCCCGCTTTTGTTTTCCCTGTATATGCTCCCCATGGGATCTATTCTTAAGAAACATGGTGTTTCTTCTCATTATTATACCAGTGACATGCAGATTTATCTGCGACTGAAAATAAAAATAACTTTAATAATAATTTAACTCCTTTTTGAACTTACATCCTTATGTCCTAAGGCTCAATGAAAACAAAACAGGCATTGATATGTTTGGGCTAAAGTTGCACCCAAGCTTTGGAACAATTTACTTTACATGTTAGAGCAGCTCCAACTTCTGTATATCCACTTTTAAAATACTCTTAAAACATATTTATCTTTGGATTTTAATGGTATATAGCATAAGCCGACTTATTTTTTTTTTCATATGTAAGGTTATCCACGTATGTGTTTACAGACTTTCTCAGGTCGTTGGATATATCAGTGGTCGTTGTTGCTCGTGTCACTGGAAGTCATCAGCTCTCCACTGAAAATGACGCGCTATATACAGGGCCGTCCTTAGGGCAGTGTAAAGGTAATGCAAAAGTAAAGTAATGCATTACTTTCCATAAAAGTAACTAAGTAACACAATTAGTTACTTTTTTATGGAGTAACGCAATATTGTAATGCATAACTTTTAGAAATAACTTTCCCCAACACTGGTTCTCAGCATGTCCAAAGGTGGGAAAAAAAAGAAAGATTATCATATTTCTGAGGAGGTATTTAGACTTTAATGAAATGAAGCCAAACCTGGTATACAGAATGCCCCAAAAACATATTTACAAGCCAGAGACAGCCAATTAAAGGGAGTTAGAAAGATCATTTAGTAGTACAAACCAGTTAGTGAAAGTCCTGCTGGTATGCTACAGCTGTTCATTTGAAAGAGTAGAAAAGAACGAGGCTTAGGGAAGAGATGAGTAAATACAGGGACAATTGAGGAAGGTGGAAACATTTTCATCTGCAGCCGTCACCACAATACAAGTCGCAATTTATAGCCATGAATAAATTCTAAACTGCAAAGTGACTCTATTGCTCAAGCTGCAGGAGGATAAGTGTATTCACATCAGAGGAAATAGAGACACATGTACATATCAACAAACATATATATTACACTGCAGTCAGAAAGAGGTACTGTTGATCATAGACAGGGAATATTATTGGTCAACGGGCCTCATTCATGAACCACAAGCAGAATTATGGGAATCATCTGTAAAACCTTTCTTATAGGGCCTATATTGTCTTTATGTGACAGTTTACACAAGAATAGTTTTATGTGCGAAGCTGTTACATGATGTGACTGTTGTGATGTGAATGGTTTCACCCGTGTAAACTCTCACATGGTGCAACTTTTAAGAATAAAAACGTTTTGTTGCATATACTACATTTGCATTTACACAAGAACAGTTTCACTTTCATTAACTTGCATGTGAATGGTTTTACTTGCGTAAATGCGCATGTTGCGACAGTTTATTATAAAACAAATTTAAAACGTGGTACAATAATTTACACAAGAACAGTTCAGGTAATACAAATTCAACCCATTTATTTTCCAAATGCATGTTATATATCTTATTGTGAGTGATTCATTCATGTATATATGGAAGCCTGTTTTCGCCTCTGAATTAAAAAGAGAAAATTGCGACTTTTTATCTCAGAATTCTGACTTTTTTTCTTGCGATTGCGAGTTTACATCTTACAATTCTGACTTTTTTTATCAGAATTGCATAATATAAAAATGCACTTGTGTGAAAAAAGTCAGAATTGTGAGAAAAAAGTCAGAATTGCGAGATATAAACGTACATTTCTGACTTTTCTCGCAATTGTGAGTTTTTATCTTGCAATTAAATTGCAATTAATTTTCTCAGAATTGTGATATAAACTCGCAATTGCAAGTTATAGGCCTGGTTTCACAGACAGAGCTTAGATTAAGCCAGGATTAGGCCATAGTTCAATTAGGACATTTAAATCGTTTTTTATAAACGTACCTTAGAAAAAAACATTACTGGTGAGCATCTTGAGACAAAACAATGGCACTGACATATTTTAAGATGTGTCAGTGCAAGTTCCTTTCAGTTAAAATAGCCCAGACCTGCATTTTAGTCTGGGACTAGGCTTAAACCGGGTGATAAAGTACAATTCTGTGGAAAAAAGACTACTTTCTTACAACTGCGAGTTTATATCTCACAATTCTGACTTTGTATATAGGCAGAATTGCGGGATATAAACTCACAATTCTGACTTTTTTCTCATAATTCTGACATTTTCTCACTATAGTGAGAAAATTCGGGGAGAAAAAAAGTCAGAATTGCAAGTTTATATCACACAGCTGCGAGAAAATGTCAGAATCGTGAGATAAGAAGTCGCAATAACCTTTTTTATTTTTATTCAGTGGTGGAAACAAGCTTCCACGTGTATGTTTCATTAAAAAAAAAATTTGACCTTGCGATTTTTTATCAAAATGTCATAGATGGATCTTCCGGTGAATCATCAGACTTTTCTCTGGCAATGTATGCAGAATTACTCCAATCATACAGTCAGTTTAAACCCTGCTCCTGTTTTACAATCGACTGCAAGCTCATTTATTCAAGTGCAATGCCCTCATCGCAAAATACAATCAACAACCAATATATGCATAACACCAAGTACATTTTTTATTTTCTATAATCGGTTACATTTAGGTGTACGTCACAATACATAATAAAAGTTCTGTCGCTACTTCCGTTTCATCACGACTTTCGTAAACTGTAGCATGTTACATAAAAATTGTTTTAGTTGCACAAGCTGTGCAACAATTCTTTTGTTGCGTAAACCTTAAGAATGATTTAAAGAATGATTTACAAAAATGTTTTGCTTGTGATGGAGGAATGAGGCCCAGTGTAAAAAAATGTAAAAACCAGGCTGCTCAGAATTACTTTTTCAGTCTACTCAACTTTATAGGGGTAAACGAAAACTGCTAGTGTGGATGGTCTCGCTTTCTCTCTCAATCTGTCTCTTTGTCCTTTCTGTTTTCAGGCAGTGAGGAAGACACCTCTCCTAAGGGTCCTGATAACAGAGATGCAACAGTCACCTCACTAACAGGCCCTGAGTCAGCACCCATAGCTCCTGTGAGAGGATGTGTGTGTGTGTAAGTGTGTGTGAGAGAGTGTGTGTGTGTGTGTGTGTGTGTGTGTGTGTGTGTGTGTGTGTGTCTGCAAAAGCATCCATTTCGCTTCTAATTTCCCAAAGTGTGTGTGGGAGGAGAGGCAGACAGACAGACAAGCAGACAGAGTGAGAAAGAAAGAGATCTGTGGGTTCTGGTTGGTAGCAGTCGCAGTAGATGCAGTAAAGACGTGGTCATGACGGGTCCCTGCATGGCAGAGATAATTTATAATCCTCTACTTGGGTTGATGATTATGTTTTGTCACACTTGTATTGATCTGTAAGTGTGATTTTAAGCGTTCTGTGCTGGTCCTCCACAGAGGTTGAATCCAGATAATCCCAATGTAGTCTATAATCATTAACTCTGACTTTCCCACTTCTACACAACCAAAACAAAACAGCCACTAATACACCTTGAGTCATTGCAACCGGAAGACTGCAGTTGCATGCGACAGCTCCAGGTTGCTTCAGATCCTGTGTGCGACAAAAGAGACGAAACCTGAGATCAGTTTGTGCTTTTTTTTTTTTAAAACAGACCTTAAAGGAATAGTTCACCCAAAAATGAGAACTTGCTGAATTACTCACCCTCAGACCAGTTTGTTTCTTCATGGGAACAGATTTGGAGAAGTGCAGCATTGCATCAGTGTCTCAGGAATGGATGCTCTGCAGTGAATGGGTGCCGTCAGAATGAGAGCTGATAAAAACATCACAATAATCCACACCACTCCACTGAAGGAAAAAGCTGTGTTTGTGGGAAGACATGTGTATCTTCAAACCATTGCTTCCGGCTAAAATACAAGTCTGAATCAAGAGAGAAATCTGCACAGATCAAGCACCGTTTACAAGCCAAAACAGCTCTAAACAAATATGTGGCTGGATTTTGATGTGAGAGACAACAGATGATGGACTTTTTCACTGGAGGAAGCGTTATTATGGATTATGGACTTGGCCAGAATCAACAGTTTAAAGTTAAAATGCCAAGTTCTGTCATGCAACTCTAGATGGCGCAGGCTGATGGGTCGTTAATGCAAACTGATGATATTCACAGCATTAAACTACTTGGCACGAGCTTATTGATTCATGTTGCATACACAGCTAATGAGCTTACTGCTTTACATTTAAACGGCTGGTTAGCATTCACTAGAGTGTTTCGTAGCGTGCTTTCAGAGTTCCTCTGAAACCCTCCACCTCCCCAGCTCCACCTGTATTGATCTGCTATGGGTTATTATACAGTATATGCTACTTGTGCAGCAGCAGTATGTCTTAAATATTTACGGCACCGTTTCGGTGAATATATTGGCAGTAACAAGTTCCTGTACTTGCTTTGGAGCAGCAGCTGCGGTGTAGCAGATCAATTCCGCCAAGACCAAATACATTAATATTGTCATATGCATTACCATGCTAAAATCTTCAGAGAGTTGTCATGATAGAAATGCCTTAATGATGGGTTTGTTTCTTACAAACACACAGCTTTCGGCTTCACAGGACATTAACTGATGGACTGGAGTTTGTGTGGATTATTGTGATGTTTTTATCAGCTGTTTGGACTCTCATTCTGACGGCACCCATTCACTGCAGAGCATCCATTGCTGAGACACTGATGCAATGCTACATTTCTCCAAATCTGATGAAGAAACAAACTCATCTACATTTTCAATGGCCTGAGGATGAGCACATTTTCAGCAAACTGCAATAGTTCTCTTTCAGTAACACAATAAATGTCATGGTTCATGTAACGCTTCTATATGTTTCTATGTACTCATCATTACATCATGTAGTGACTCATGAGCCCCTAATACAATAGTTTAGTCTCAGTCAAGCTCTAAAACTTACTTTTCAGAATCAATTATGACATTTTCCGCAAAACACTTCTCAACACGAGAGCAGAAAGAATACAAGGAAGCAGAAAAGATCCTTCACTCACCTCCGCAGGAGATGTCACAGACATCAAGGCCAAAGAATGAAGGCAAGAGAGAAGAATAAAAAGAGAAATAAAAACTGAAAGAAAGATTAGAGAAATGTATTAATTAAGGTTACAGCCAGGATATAAGAAAATGCTCAACATCCATATCAGAACAAAAAATGGGAGACGCGCCTGAGATGCTATAAATCAGTCTTACCTTCTCCTCTAGATCTTTAATCTGTCTCCTCTGGATGTCAGTCTTATCCTCCAGGTCTCTGATCCTCTGCATTGAGAGAAACACGTCACAGATCCCGTTCGGTATGTTATTGTTTATTAAATAACTGCTGTAAACAGGTCTGAGAAAGCTGAAATCATCGATTACAGTGCTACAGTACAATTACAGTGCTTATTAATATAAACCTCATTTATAAATACAGTCTAAGACCACTAGCTGAATGCACAACTGAAAGCAGTTTTATTATAATATAGACATAATATTTGTTATGTCTCAGGAATCTGCTGCACATGAAAGCTATTGCATCAGATCACCAGTCGACATACTGTACATCACACACAGAACCAACAAATATAAATAGTCTTGCATTTAAGTGGTTATTATCTTTCTTATCTTTTATAGTATTTGTATTACAGTTACCAGATCATTGTTGCATTTTACTCACATATGTGACTGACTAAATACAATGTTATTTGATAATTGTATGAGTGTGAAATGCTGTATTGATATTTCCACTTGTTTTTTGCCTGATGGCATAACGCCCCTGTACTCTTTCCAAAATCAGTTTATAAATCGACTGAACTGTCGATAGATGACTAGTCAACAGAACTAGTCATCACCGCTTTGGGCAGCTCTGATCTTCGATCTATTATGCAGAACACATAACGTCTGCTGAGGCTGATTTAGGTTAGCTGTTCGGTGGATAACATCATGTCATCTGTACTCTTCTGCTTTTGGTTGCTTATTTCTTTAACAAGGTATAATTATTTAATTAGTGTGTCTACAAAACAGGTTTAACCACTTTGTGTTCCACCTATACGTAAAGCATCATTTAAAAAATGAATAGCTTAAAGCAGCTTTTACTCTATGTAAATAAATACAGACGGGTGACAAATTCACCCCGTAAAGCCTGACATATGAAATAATAGTAAAAAAAAAAAAAAAACTTTTTTTTTTTTTTTTTTTTTTTTTTTTAAAAAAAGGGAACACCCTTTAAAAAAAATTTAGTATACTACATGCATGAAAATATGTTACAAATGATGAGGCGTGTCATGAACTGTACCTGATGGGCCTGATGGAGCAGCTCCATCCTCTCCTGCAGCACCTGACAGTCATACTCTCGGCTCTTCCGCAGCATCTGTCTGCGCAGTTTCTCCACAGCCGCGCGTAACTCGTCCTTCTGCAGCTCGTCCAGAGGTTCTCCGTATTTGATGACTTTATCCTGCTGCAGTGCGTTGTACAGGGTGGCCTCCAGCTCCTGGATTTGCTGTTACACACACACACACAGGTTTGTTTTTGTGGATTGTGGGGACTCTCCATAGACGTAATGGTTTTTATACTGTACAGACCGTATATTCTATTGCCCTACACCAACCCTACCCCTAAACCTACCCCTCACAGGAAACTTTCTGCATTTTTAGTTTTAAAAAAACGAATTCTGAATGATTTATAAGCCTTTTGAAATATGGGGACACTCAAAATGTCCTCATAAATCACCTTCTCGTTATAATACCTGTGTCATACCCATGTCATTATACAAATTTGTGTCCTCGTAAACCACAAAAATGCACACACACACACACACTCACACACTCACTCACTCTCTCACACAAACACAAACACACACACACACACACACACACACACACTCACACACAAACACACACACACACACACACACTTTTCTTTCAAATCAAATAATCGTTGGTTTGGTTCATGGTTTAGAGAAAATGTATTGCTTTAAGAAAAATCTAAGAACAAATGGGTGCTTAGTGTTTAAAAGTGAACTCGTTCATGTGTATATATATCATGTAACGTATACATTGTAATTTGTAGTAATGGAAAGGACATGAATGACTTTATAAACATATTCTGCCTTCTCCCTCTCATTCAAACTGTAAATTTTATTTAATTCTTAGAATTAATTTGTATCAAATACAAATATGACTTTATATTTTGTTGTGTTGAGTCTGCAAAGGCACTAGTTATATGGACGTCAAGAGGTTTTTTTCCAATGGATTGTTTACGCTGTATTGCCTTGTGGATTATCAAATATCTAACAAGATATGAGATATGAGTAACTAACAAGGATTTGACTCTGAACCGGGGTTTTTTTTTTTATTTGAAGAGCACTAGAAGGGCTAATTGCAATTTTTGTGTGTGTGTGTGTGTGTGTGTGTGTGTTTGTGTGTGTGTGAGCGTGTGTGTGTGTGTGGGT